ATTTCACGCCGGTATGATCTTTTGAGGCGTGTAACATCAAAACCTATGCAACTAAAAATTTGTGCGGAAAAAAAAATCGTGCAACCAAATTATATGAGAAAAGGAAGAAATTTTCCCAACCTGTTTTTTTTTTGTAAAGATGGAAATATTAATTAATATAAATATCAACAAAATATGCGCATTTTAGTTACACTGGTTTTTGTTTGCTGTTACAATACTGTACTCAAGCATTTGAAAATTAGAGAAAATCGCCTGTGAAGTTTACCAGAGTATTATAACAAAGGAAGGAAAATCTGAAGAGAAATAATTTACTACTTAACTGTCATATATTATTAAATAATATGATAAAATAGACGTGTGTAATTTCTTTCTATAAAAAAGAATTGGGGTGGATTGGTTTGGCTTTCTTGGCTTTTAGTTCAATTATTTTGCCTTGTTGCTTTCTTGTAATTTAATCTAATCTTTTCCTCCCGACTAACTCATCTTTTTTTAATTTCTTCTATATATGACGCCATTCAAAATTTAAGTGCAAGTAAGAATGGTTATTTATCTAGAAAACGTTGGCAAATATGGCATAATTATTATCCTTCATTTATTATTATTCCCTCATCATTTGTCCACCAATCCATAATTGTTCTAATAACATCGGCAATATCCTGAGTTTAAGGATCCTTAGTTCTTTTGAAATTTTTAAGGATTCCTTAAATTTGTTACAAAGATCTCCATATTGATATAATTAAACCGATGACAACTGTTTACTTAAAATACACTATATACTTCTACTAGATTATTTTAAAGTCTTTGGAGTATTGTTGTCATTTAATGTGTCATTCATTAAAAAGAATTTTATTAATACAGATTACTAACATAGTGTTAATATTTGTTTCCTTCAAACAATGGGTCAAACGACTAATCATTGTTATGCAAAGAAAAAAATATCAAAATACCTTCATTAATATATATTACTAATGGTAAAACATTGTATTAATGTTTGTTTTCTTCTATGGTTAAATGATGGATTATTGCTACATAACCATTAGAAAATATTCTAGTTGGTATTACTAATGGGTTATAGATAATAATATTAATAATAATTCTTATTGTGTGCAACATCATATTAACGTTTGTCTTCAAAAAACAGATCTATTGTTACGTGACCATCAAAGAAGTATAACATAATACTAACATCAATAATAATTCTCATGGTGTGTATTAATATTTGCCTCAAAAAATGGATCTATGATTAAATTATTGTTACTGTTACGCATCAAACAAATTTTTACATATGTGAATATAAAGGCAAAATTTGGCTTTGAGGGTCAGATTATTTTCGGTTTTATTAATAACCTGCTTTATAAGTTTCAAATTTGGTGGTGGTTGCTATACAGCAAGGGTATCAAACGAGGGTATGAAAACATTCTATTATAAAATTTTACTATGCAAATTAGCATGGTGGTGAGCATAGTGGAAGTTTGTTGTTACACGAAATCTCATACAGAACTCATTGCTCCTGAAACTTTACCAGTATATAGTTG